CATAATGCTCCAAAAATATCCACTAATTATTTTCTTTGTGAGGACAGAACTTGTTGAAGACAATCTGTTTCTTGACATGATTTCCCCAATATAACCACAAACAAGTCAACAAAACAAGTTCAATTAATGATACCAATTCCAGGAGTAGAAAAAAAAACTTCTGGGAACTTGTCAGAATGTGTTCCTGCATAACAAGTTCATCTCCTTTTGAATGCCTGTACAACAATTGGCATTTCCATCTAGTATGAAACGTTAAGTAAAGCTGAAACATATTACCTTATGACGTTTTATTTACAGACTCGGGTTTTGCACTCCTTGTGCAAAAGACTTTGTGATTCAAACCCACTTATCTGTACTATCTATCAGTCTGCTAAAATTGTTCTGTGAGATTTTGCTTCATGCATCATGGAGGAATGATTCAGAAGGAAGTAATCATGTGAGTTTATGAGACGGATGTAGAACTTTTCAGCAGATAGCCTAAAAGAAAAGAACCTCCACATGCACAACGTAAACTTTAGTGTTTACACAATTCAGCAAGCAGTAGCATAAATGTAGCCGACATAAAACTCTGATATCAAAGGGTGGAGAGATGATTATCCACTTAATAGACTACATCCTGGAGCACAAAATCATGGGGGTTTGTGTGAGCTCATAAGTACTCTTGCTTCTCAAAAGTTTACAGCAGGACAAAACAAAGAATTTTGCAACTCTACTATAAGCAGATTTGTTGGGCCATTTTTGTTTCTCCTTTTAGATGCAATAGGAGGTGCACGACCCTACAGTAAGCCCCATGTCCTGCTCAAGTTCTCTAACAATCTCATCTGCAGGCCTTTAAGCACTGCAAGTGATCCTCAACAAGAGCAATAAACACTGTTGCTGCAGGAAATCACACTAAAATAATGTTCTCACCAACTTTACACCAAGTTAATTCTGCTTGGTTGACTTGCTCTCTTGATCCTGAAATGAGAAGCCCTGTTATGTAAAACCTAAATTTCCTTCAAGCGTCACAGCTTGATTTAAAAGCAACTTCTGCTCTTGAACACCAGAACACCACTGAGTGGATTTTATTTATAAAGAGACTCACTCAAAATAAACAGGATAACACTTGACAGTTTCCACAGATCTTAAGATCTTACACCTGAAAGGATGTTCAACCATTAATCACGCCTAATTAAATCTTGAGTGGGTCTTGTTCAGCAGATATAAGCTGATCTTTTGGCATGAGTGGTTTTAAACTCTTAACATGCCAAGTATTTACCTTCTAACCTAAAATGCAAAACATCGTAATGTAGTTGTGAAAGCATCCACAAAGTCAGATTGGAAATAGTTAATACCACAGGGGATAAACAGTCCAGTCACAAGCTCAACAAGGCAGCCTGGGAGAAAAACAACCCAAGTCACATTTTACTCAATAAGAGTATTGTTTCCTCTTCATAATTCATTTAAGGAGGTAAGAAAAGCGGAACTGGGCGAACAGCTGCTAAAGTTTTTCCGAAAACATACAAATGAAGTGTAATTCATTTCCCAGTGAGGTTCATACAGGTCAAAGTAACGGTCAGCGACACGGATGGAACTCCTGTGAAATGCTGGAACGAAACCGCTGCTGCTGAGTAGTGGGCTCGGTTTTTTAATGTCAGCGGTTCGAGTAGAGTTCAGCGTGAGATAAAAGTTTTTAGTGTAATTTTCTCACCTTTTTGACGAGTGTCCGACTCAGTGAAATGTGCTCGTTTTTATCCTCAACCCAGACTGGATATTAAGTACGACAGCTACGCCAAACAGCGCAATACATTCTCTCACGCGCCACAGAAGCAACTCATTCGGCACCAAGCTAACAGGACGGAGAGATTGTGTTTCCGACAAGACCTTTCAAAATAAATCAACTAGTTTTCTACCGCGGCGCGTTGCATTTTATTCTGAAATGTAATATATATACTTTTTCGGTGTATTACCCATGATGTTACCTTTTCACTTAAAAACAGGAAAACTTCCGTGAGTCCGTCATGTGACCATTGAGAAGAACTGGCCAAGCCAGTTTATCAGTTTGTTCTCATAAATACTTTTTAATTTACTTTTTTTCTGTAAGATCGAATGAGTTTTACAAGCAGAGGAATACATCCAGTTAACTGCACAAGTTTTAAACTTTATTTGCAAAGATCCAGACTTTCTTGTAGGTTCCTAAAGTGGGATCTCCAGACATTTAAAAATATTTTTTAAACTAGAAGTGCATAGTTTTTAGTTTATTTATTTATTTACTTATTTACTTATTTATTTATTTATTTATTTATTTTTACTTTTGTAAAATCTGTTGTAATTTAGAAATATTTTCAGTTGTAATAGATTTGGAAAAAAAACATTTATTGAAGATTTACTGCATCTGCATCATTTCTTTTATATTTTAGAAACATTTTGTGGTTTTGGTCTTGGAAGGGAGCTGCAACACTTTGCAGATTTTACTCAGGAGTGTTACAGTGGCAAAATAAAAAACAAAAGGGTTTTAATTGCCTTGATGTTATAAGAGATTAAGTAATTTGTGTGCAATTTGAGTGAGGATGTAAGAAATGTGTCTGATTTTTAAAACATCAAGGCAATTGTTTGCTGTACAACCCATTATCTATTAGAAAAGTTTAAAAAATGTGTGTAGCCTATGTAGTTTTGAAACATTATTTAGTTTTTAATGAGAGGTTGGTAAGGCCTACATTAGTTTATAAATCAATCTGCAACACCTGATAATTTACAGCAGTTGAAAAAATATTGACCATTTAAATTAATTGTCTTTATGTCTAACTGTTTTATCTTTTTTTCTTGTATTTGTTCATTTTATCTGTTTTTCTTTGATGTAAAGCTAACTATGTTTCTGTTGCTGCTACCTCTTGGCCAGAGTTCTCAATCGATTCATCTGGTTAAATAAAAATAAAATAAATAACAGAACAAATGGTTGTAGAGTGTCAATGGAACCAGAAGAGGACAGTCACTCACCATCAAGCTATAATGCTAAACTTCCAAATGTTTTTTTATTCATAAAATGTAAAAATAAAATAAAACACTAAAATCCACATTTATGTAAAAAGTAGTTAAATTTTTTCCCAAATGTAGTTTTGTTCTGTGAAGATGGCAAAAAACAAACCAAAAAAAAAAGGCTGGCATGCAACAGAATTCATAAAACAATAGATGTGGGGAAAAGTGTGTTTCAGTTAACAGAATACGACGTTCTAAATGTGAATTATTTTATCTTTTTTAAGAGGCTTGGTTGTTTTAATTTCTTTTGTTATTTTACAGAAGACCATGGATGTGAAAGTGAAGCTTGGATGAGTAGAAAACTGGTGGTAAATTGTCACCAGCAACAGGCAGAAAACAAGCACAACACACAAAGGTGAATGAAAGGATGGCTGAGAGAACAAACAGAAGTAAGAAATGAGCTGATTAGAAGACAGAATGAGCTTAAATGACAGGACACAAACAACTAAGGCTTAAGATGATATGCAGAAGATCAGAAATCTTTGGAGAAGGAGAGAACAAAGAAAGATAAACTGCACAGGCACAGAGAAAAGGGAGAACACAAGTGCTGTCAGAGGAGGAAGTGGGGGAGGTGGGTAGTGATGAGTCATCACCAGGCTATCATCCCTGGTGGGTTGGGTTGCTGTGGGGGTGGCAGAGTGACACATATGTAGTCCCACACACACACACACGCATGCACACAAACACATACTCTTGAGGATTTCTAGCCATCACGCTGCTTATTCGTCTCCTCCTGCTGCGGAGGCGGGTGAAAGACAATACAGGGATACCACTGAGACATCAGAGTTCAGCCGTGCACTTACAGCCTGTTTTCCTCTGACGTGTGCACTCGATGATAATGGCAAAGCAAGAGGCCTCATTAACACTGAGGATGGATGGATGGTACATACATGGGCAGGGAGATAAACAACAGTCAATACAGCTGTAGAAGGTTAGAGCAGGACATGTACAGGAGGAACTGAAGCAGCATTTCACACCCTTTTACATCTACTTCCCTTTATCATCTATACTTTATTAGATGGCTCGTGTGCAGAATAGGCCAAGAGGAAGGCATGCAAAAAACATGCACATCAATGGAACTTAGCTATGTTCCTCTTACTGGTGTACTCTCAGATGTGCTTCATCTACTTAAACATATTTAAAAGCCACTTTTTGCTGTTTTTTTACAACGCGCAGTTCAGGCTTTTTTAATCAGCTCAACACAGGAAATGGTTGTATTTGCATAAGGATGATTGATCAGATGCCATGTGGTAAGTTATTTCCACACCTCACCCGTCAGTCTGTGTTGCTCTTTGGTCTGGAGTTGATTTCAAGAGTTGCCATGCCAACAGATTGGGAGGGGGTTCCTAATGCTGATCTAGGCCACTGCACGCACGCTGAATGTCCATGGATGCATGCAATCAAATAAACACACATCATCACTTCCCAAGCGAGGGTAAGCAGTTCATCAGCAGCAGCTGTGTGGTGTTTTACAACACCTATGGTCCACTGAAAGCAGATCAACCAGTTTATCATTCTTTAAACTACTTTAAACAACACTGACAGAAAATTAACCCTCTCAGGCTCAAAATAAGTTTTGATAACAGGACGAACAACTAAGTCCTTCAGGGGTACTTCTGAGTTAAAACATGCTTATGAAATATGTATGTGGAGTAACCAGGTAGATAGGTTTTAAAGTTACAAATCTGCAACGCCTGCCTCCAGAGGGTTCAAACAGATCACAAGTGAAAACTGAACAAAAAATAACTTTTTATGAATATGTATTTATTTTAAATCTACATACATTCATACATCTCTCAAGTAGAGAATACAGTAAGTAAATCTGTGTGTGTGTGTGTGTGTGTGTGTGTGTGTGTGTGTGTGTGTGTGTGTGTGTGTGTGTGTGTGTGTGTGTGTGTGTGTGTGTGTGTGTGTGTGTGTGTGTGTGTGTGTGTGTGTGTGTGTGTGTGTGAGCGAGAGAGAGATGGAATAAAGGTTGAGTTAAGTGAGGTTCCAGCTGCCTTCTGCACACCTGAATATTTATTATGTGCTTACAAATTGGTGGAGACACAACAAGCAACAGAGACAATACAGGCAAGCATACATGTGTGAATCCATAAAAATAAAAGGCTGCAAGGAGTCACTAAATGAATTTTGTATTCAGTTTAGTCAATAAACTTTTAAACACAAACATTTTGATGACTATTTGCTCATGTCCTAATTATAAAATGTTGATGTTCTTTTAAAAAAAAACTTTTAGTTCTGATTACACCAAATATAGGTTTAACTTGTATGATCATATGTGTGTGTGTGTGTGTGCGTGTGTGTGTGTGCGTGCGTGTGTGTGTGTGTGTGTGTGTGTTGCTGTTTTATGTGAATGTAATCATACAATATGTATGTAACTATGCGAGTGAGTTTGTCTTTGTGCATGAACGTCTACATACATATCCATATATGTAGTTTATGTACAATGTACAATTTACAAACCGGATCACATACAAACATACATACATGTATTCATGGGTGTGTATTAAGCTTTATGTATCCCTGCATTGCTGTTTGTATGAATATGTGTTTTCTCTAGTCGCTGTCTTCCCTCTCATGAGTCTCAGGCAATGAGCTCTCATCAATGTTCTCCAGACTTTCGGCATGCTGGATGCTCAGCTCCGACAATGAAATGCTGGGTAACGTAGTCTGTTCTGGGTTCAGCCAGGGTTTAAAGTTTGGGTTGTGTCTCTGCTTCCACTCTGAATACTTCAAACAGGCCTTATTGATCTTTTTCATTGCCTGGAAACAGCACAGAAAAATAACACAGCACATATGATCATTACAGAGATCATAATTGATCTTTAGCCAACTCAGCTGACAGAAAGGATGTGAGTGATTGTTAAAAAGCCAATATTTACAGACTGGGTTGAGTTCAACATGCATGAAGCATACAAATACCAAGGACCAAAATAGCTCTGCAGAAAATAGCTAGATACAGGGTATCTGCCGGTTTAAGGGAGCCTAATTTAAGACTTTTTATGACCTTTTTTTAAGGCCACTTTGACCAAATTTAAACTATTTAAGTAGGGCAGCAGTAGCTCAACAGGTTGAGCGGGTTGTCCAGTAATAGGAAGGTTGCAGGTTCAATCCCGGCTCCGGACAGAGAATTCTGCTAATGTGTCCTTGGGCAAGACACTTAACCCACCTTGCCTGCTGGTGGTGGTCGGAGGGACCGGTGGCGCCAGCGCTCGGCAGCCTCGACTCTGTCAGTGCGCCCCAGGGCAGCTGTGGCTACATCGTAGCTCATCACCATCAGTGTGTGAATGTGTGTGTGAATGGATCAATGATACACTGTAGTGTAAAGCACTTTGGAGTCCTTACTCTGAGAGGCGCTATACAAGTGCGGGCCATTTATCATTTTTAAAAATTAAATGTAAGCTATAATTTCCAGCTATTGCCTGGAACCGGTGCTAACCACGCCGCGATCGTGGGATTAGCCATCCAGTTACCATTAAACTTCCACTTCCCCATGGCGCAAACTCCCACTAGCTTAACCAGCTAACGTGCTCATCTAAAAATAGCCCCCTTACACAACCAACTGAATGTGTACGGTTCCGCTTATGCCAATATCATACACAAAAAACGCTGAACACTAACTAGAAACTCACGAAAATTTTATAGAAATAAAAGAATCTTGTTTATTGGGTCTTTGGTAATTTAAGACCTCTGGAAACTGTATTTAAGGATTATTTGTCATTTTTAAGGATTTTTAAGGCCCTAAATTTGGAAAAGCTAATTTAAGACTTTTTAAGACTTTTTAAGGACCCGCAGATACCCTGTAGATAAATAAGTGACAGGACAAAAAAGCAGCCAACAGGAATGGTGTGAGAATTACACACAAAGACGAAATGTGCTTAAAAAAGTAAATAAATTGGCAACAAGAAGAAAAGGATAATAATTCTTCATGCACCTATCAACATGCACTTTTAACATTTCTGCATGCATCAACAAAAAAGCAGCGGTTATTTAAAAAACAAGATGTAAAATGAAAAATCATAAACACGCTTATTTTGCGCATCCTTCAATGGTGTTTCTAATGATACCAGTATCCAGACAAGAAGTTAGGACATTTTTGTCCAATATCAACACACATGCATGCTAAACCAAAAAGTGAAGCACATAAGCATGCATGACTTACATGGGGGGCGAGGAAGTTGAAAGACTTGTTGACAACCCACTTGGGTAAAGAACCTGTGAAGAAAGAAAGGAGGAGAAGAACAAAAGTGGAGAGTAATCAAACAGAAAGAGGATGAGCAGAGGGATTTTAGATTTAGTGCATGTCACATGAAAGCATCAAAGAGAGGCTTAGTATCTCGCTACCTGCTGCATCTGCACACGCACAGGTGAACACAATAAGACCAGGTAACTACAGAAATGTTCACCATCATCAGTGAACACATGAGTCAGACGGACACCATGATATTTAGAAAATGAAAAAAGGGTTTAAAGGAAGGAGGAGGGACATGCTCAAAGGCACAAGTGAGACAGTGCAGTAGACCGTCCTTGATATGGTTACTATGACAACTCTTTTTTGACATAAAGGCAGAGGAATGAATAATTTATAGAGCATGCATTAAGCACCTGGGTGAGTGAACTAGTTTTTTTTCCATCATTATGAATGTGTGCTCTCTTTATAACCCTGTGTGTGAGTGTCAGTTACCTCGTGGATCAACCTGGGCCAAGTAAGTGAGGGTACAGCTGTTAGGCCCTGTGCTCTGGATCATGTAGCCTGTTTGAATGGAGACAGCTCGCACCATGTCCTTTTTAGGAGGGTATTTCTGTAGAGACAACACATACCACAGGATGAGGGATTCTGTAGTGCATAAAGTAGTTTTAAAGGTATTGAGCACTCGTTTAATCAATACATTTAAACTCGTCTGTAGTAGGAATGAATGCATTGTAAGTCAGACTCTGGGGGAAAAAAACACTGGTGCACCATTTTCAGGAACTAGAAGTAAGCCACATCACAGATGAACTTCAGACGAGAGGATTTAGAGTATTTTTCCTGGTATTTGGACATTTCACCTCCAAATGGATAACAGCCACTGACCTGCAACATGGATGTTTTATTTCCACAAATTATACAAGCCTGGAGGAGTTCTGCTATGTGGTGGAGTTGCTAATGCTAATGGAGAGCTATTGTTAGCTGAAACCTTCTCTGCTGTCTTCTGGACACTAACACAACAACAGCTTTCCTTGTCATGAGTCAAAATGATTGAGTTCATGGATGTTAAGTGACGTGTGATGTAGATCTGTCCGGCTTTTTCAATCCGTCTATTTTCTATCAAAAGCTAATGCAGCAGATAGGTGTAGGAAACTATTTTCATGTTCAGCCTGCATGAAAAACTCAGAGTGACCAAATATAATCAGAAATAATATTTAAAAAATGGTTTTTCATCATTCTACTTCTTTAATACTTTTTAGATTGAAATTACCCAAATTTATCCAATGAATTCTTTATAAGGTGTTTCATGTTTTCTTACTAAAGATGACCTACATTAAAGAGTTTGTACCATGCACACCATGCAGTCAAAAGTTTCCTATGAAAGAAAACCCAGCAGATTGCATCGAGTCACTCATTTTTGTGTCCGTGACTTTACAGCAATCCCCATTCTAAGCAAGCATGTTGCGACAGTGGAGAGGGAAAACACCCCTGTAACAGGAAGTAACATCCAGCAGAAACTGAGCAGGTAACTGCCACAACCGACAAGAAAATTAAGAAAACAGAGCACGTACGCACGCACGCACACACACACACAAACACATAAACTACAAGCAAAGGCTAATGGGAAATCTACCTTTCTAAGCGTTTTAGCAGCAAGTTGTAAAGCAAAGCTGGCTTACACACAAGTGTTTAAACAGTGTTTAATCTAATGATTTACTTTTTAGCATTTGAAATTATTTAAAAAACATTTTTTGCAGTTCTTCTCTGAAGTTACTTTTGAATTAAGTTATAATACTCCTCAGCCACCACAAGGGGAGCTGCTACAGCAGCAGTAGCTTTCCACTTATTAAGGCCTGTTCCTTTATTGTGTTAATGTGTTATTAAGGCAATCAAGGGTGTTTTATATGTTGTTTTTTAATCTGCTCTTCAGTCACATTTTAAGCCTTTCCCATTGAACACAATGAATACTTTCCGCTGTAGCCAAATAAAACATGCACTTTTGGCAAAACACCAAAACTATAGCTCAGACTCAAAATAAGTTTTGATAAAAGGACGAACAACTAAGTCCTTCAGGGGTACTTCTGAGTTTAAAAATGCTCATGAAATGCGTATGTGAAGTAACCAGGTAGGTAGGTTTTAACTGTTGCAAATCTGCAACGCCTGCCTCCAGAGGGTTAATGTGTCCAACATAACGGGTTAGCCAGCACAAACAGCAGAGCTCACATGAAGCCCACAGCAGCAGCATACAGCTGCTGCAGGAGAACTAGACTCAACAGCTTTATCTTTATTTCCAGCTTTGGTGTTTCTTCTCTTTTATTGGTTATCTTGTGAGAGTTTTTGCTGATGACACCATGATGGAGTTCATGAATCAGCTGTGGGTTTCCAGGAAATCAGAGCATTATCTGGTTCTGAGTTAAAGGATTTTTAAGGAGGACTCAAGGAAATTTCATGCATTTCTCCACATACCCAGTTCACTAAAAGGCTTTGCACCTGAAGACGTGGGTGTAATTTAGTGACAACATTCATCTAATATTAAAGTTTTGCCTGTTGCTGAGAAAAAAACAAAAGAAAACTGAGGACTTTCACATTTCACATTTTAAGAGTCCTTGAAATGGAAAACCTACTTTGTGGTATATTCAATAAAAATTTAACAAAAACCCTGCAAATGCTATGTGATCCTCATTAGAGAAATGGAAACAAACACGTTTGACAAGTTCCTGTTTGAGACCTATAAAAGATAAAATATTAACAACATTTTTTACTGAGAAAAACACATATTTCCTTCTATTTTTATAGCATAAAGAAGTGAAATACAAAAATAGGGGACTGAATTTGTTGTAACTGGATTAGAGGTGACTTAGCAATCTGCTGTAGGGCAGCTCATTAAAATGTTTTTTCAAACCTAAAAAGCCCCAAAAAGTGATTTTTTTTTTCCTGCAAAATTTTAAGGTTGTTTTGGACACTCAAATAGATAGATTTAATCAAAGAAAACAACATTTTTATGGTAAAACTTCCTCTAAGTTCTACTGAACACCATTTGTCACCTAGAGTAATCACACACATGAAACACAAACACACACATGCACACAGAGACTATTGTGTCCATAAACTGAAATTGATGCAGGAATGCAGAGGGCCATCACATGAGATGACTTATCCTGTAAACTCTGTAGAAGTGAGAGAATCTTGGAATGAGAGAAATGGAGGAACAAAGAGAGAGAAAAAAACAGAATGTGGGACAAACAAATAGAATTAAAACACCAGTTTTACACGCTCTGTTACATTCCATTCATTTAGCAGATACTAACTGTAATTTGGCCTCAGAGGAAGGTGATGAGGAGTAGATGAGATGATGACTCATCTCCAGACAGGAAAAAAGACAAATTGGCAGATTAAAAACAGATGTTTGGGCATGGTTTCAAACCGCCACCCACAAGGTCCCAGAGCCTTCTTGTCGCCACACGGGCTTTACTGCTCTATGGTAATCACATTATCTAGTTCTTAGGAAGCACAGTCAGAAGCCAGCCTAAAAAATACAGCATTTGAGCTTAATCAACTTAATGATCTATAGTTAAACCCAAAAAAGTAACACACACACATCTACTGTGAAAGCATGAAGGAGAAGAGAGCCATCTCTGTTGGCTGTTGCCAGACTGTCTCTACTTGATCCTCTTCTCTAGAAGACCAGTGGAATTTTAAATGATTGAATGGAAGCTTTTTATTATTGCCTCTACAAAAATAAATAAATAAACACCACAAAAATCTTCCATGGAATCCTTGCTAAACTGGACTGGAGCTCTGTTCAGATTACCCTAAAATGGATAAGCATTCATGTGCACCGATGAATGCATATGAAGTGAAATGAAGGGGTGAATCATTGGGGCTACACCTTGTATGTGTGTGTGTGTCCACTTACGGCATGTTTAACAGAGTAGTTCATGATAATGTAATCTCTCCCTATTGGCAGCCACGACCGAAGCGTGATGACGTCACGGTTCCGAAGAGGTTTTGGACACTTCCCTTTAAACAACATGCCTCCAGTTTAAAAACATATATGGTTGGCGAGGTCAAGCTATGATGTGTTTATTACAAAATAAGTAACATACATGAGTAGTAACCAACATCCGCGTTGACGGTGAGCTTCCCAATATCAAATGTCTCAATCACATTTGAGTCCCATTTTCTTCTGTATTCAGTGTCATGGAGTACATCGTACATCGTCTCCGCCGACACGTCTTTACACACCATGCGACACTAAAAGATAGAAAGAGAAGCAGATTCATGATGCATTAATTTTCTGTGCAGAAAGACAACACAAAGCAAACAGAATTATCTAATGGGCAATTAAATGAATACTGTGAATCCATTCAAATGTAACTACTTTGTATTTAATTTAGAGCAGCAAATGTAGTAGGATCCATTCAAACAAGACAGATTTTCAGCAAAAGATCCACACCTCCCATAAGCTAACTTTTGTGGCGATTATAGAAATGCTACGTTTTGCTGCTGCTAGCAATTTTTATAAGTGCAAACCTGAGAATCCCAGCTGAAAGTCATGACAGTGTAAAAACTTTTCAAACCAACTTTATGTTTAAAACTCTGGAGATCAAAGCTGTTGAAAGAAGGCAACAATACATGTTGGTCTTGATTTTGTTTAGACTAGCCATTAGCTAATCAATCCTTGAGGATATAAATACATTTCTTTCGAAACAGTTGGTGAAGCTTTTGGACCGTGTCATGCCAACAAAGGTAAGTGAGAAACTAAAAAATCTTTCTGAACACAAAATAAAAAATCTACATCCATAAGAATCTATTTCATGTAGAAAAAATTTAAATACAATGAAAAATCCACCTCTCCCTGGGCTGCCACCTTACCGTGGTGGAGGGGTTTGAGTGTCTCAATGATCCTAGGAGCTAAGTTGTCTGAGGCTTTCTGCCTCTGGTAGGGTCACCCATGGCAAACAGGTCCTAGGTGAGGGATCAGACAAAGAGCAGCCCGAAGACCTCTTATGATGAATTATATAAATGGAAACTGTGTTCCCTCGCCCACACGTGGGTCACCGGGACCCCCCTCTGTAGCCAGGCCTGGAGGTGGGGCACGATGGCGAGTGCCTGGTGGCCGGGCTTTCACCCATGGAACCCAGCCGGGCACAGCCCGAAGAGTAAACATGGGTCCCCCTTCCCATGGGCTCACCACTCGTGGGAGGGGCCAAAGGGGTCGGGTGCAGTGTGTGATGGATGGTAGTCGAGGGCGGGGACCTTGGCGGTCTGATCCTCGGCTACTTCTGTAGCTCTTGGCACATGGAATGTCACCTCTCTGGCGGGGAAGGAGCCTGAGTTGGTGTGTGAAGTTGAGAGGTTCCGACTAGATATAGTCGGACTCACCTCAATGCATGACTCTGGCTCTGGAACCAGTTTCCGTGAGAGGGGTTGGACTTTCTACTACTCTGGAGTTGCTCCCACTGAGGCGCAGAGCAGGGGTGGGCATACTAGTTGCCCCCATCTTGGTGCCTGTACATTGGGGTTTACCCCAGTGAATAAGAGGGTAGCCTCCCTCCGCCTACGTGTGGGGGTCAGGTTCTGACTGTGGTCTGTGCTTATGCACCAAACTACAGTTCAGACTACCCACCCTTTTTGGAGACCTTGGAGGGGGCGCTGGAAAGCGCACCTTCCGGTGACTCCCTCGTTCTGCTGGGAGACTTTAACGCTCACGTGGGCAACGACAGTGAGACCTGGAGAGGTGTGGTTGGGAGGAACGGACCCCTGATCTGAATTCGAGTGGTGTTTTGTTATTGGACTTCTGTGCCAGTCATGGATTGTCCATAACGAACACCATGTTCAGACATAAAGGTGTCCATATGTGCTCTTGGCACCAGGATACCTTAGGCCGCAGCTCGATGATCGACTTTGTTGTTGTTTCATCTGACCTGCGGCCGCATGTCTTGGACACTCGGGTGAAGAGAGGGGTGGAGCTGTCAACTGACCACTACCTGGTGGTGAGTTGGCTCAGATGGTGGGGGAGAAGAAGAAGAAGAAGAAAATAACATTTCTATAGCGCCTCTCAAGATAAAAATCACGAGGCACTTCACAAAAACAAAAAAATGTAAAAATATAAAAAAGAATTTAGAAAATGGTTAAAAATGTATATTTAAAATGAGCAAAAAATAGACAAATTGTGATTAAAAAATGTTAAGAAAGAGAGAGAATGAGTAGGAAAGAGGGAAATCAGTGGATCCGGAGGAAGGTGGAATAGGTGGGGAGAGCAGAATAAAGAGAGTGGTGAAGAAGGTCATACAAAAGCCAGCTTGAACAAGTGAGTCTTCAGCTGTTTTTTAAAGGAGACCACTGAGTCCACTGATCTCAGGCTCAGGGGGAGAGAGTTCCAGAGTCTGGGGGCCACAGCAGCAGATGATCTGTCACCTTTGGTCTTTAGCCTGGTGTGCTGCACAACCAATAGGCTTTGATCACTGGACCTCAGGGACCTGCTGGGGGTGTAGGGACTAAGAAGATCACCAATGTAAGATGGTGCTTGTCCATGCAAGGCCCTATGGACCAGAACCAGGATCTTGAAATGAACCCTGAAATTGACTGGCAGCCATTGAAGCTGGAGGAGAAGCGGTGTGATGTGGGTGTATTTGGAGGACTTGGTCAGAAGCCGAGCACAGGCATTCTGAACCACCTGTAGACGGTTCAGGGAGGTTCTGCTCAGACACGTGAAGATATTTACAGTAGTCTAAGCGTGAGGAGATGAAGGTGTGGAGAACAGTCTCAAGTTCAGAGCAGGATAGAATGGGACTCAGCTTAGCAATGTTCCTGAGATGGAAGAAGGAAGAGCGAACAAGAGAACTGACATGAGAATCCAGGGTGAGAGCTGGGTCAAAGGTCACGCCAAGATTCCTGATGGAAGGTTTGGTGTGAGAAGCAAGCTGACCAAGAGAATCTCTGACTTTGGGAACCAGCTTGTCTGGGGAACAGATAAGGATCTCAGTCTTCATTCAGCTGTAGAAAGCTCCCAGCCATCCAGGTTTTGATAGAGTCTAAGCAGGTGTGTAACAGCTGCAGCTTAGACATCTCATGGGGCTTAAAGGAGATGTACAGTTGGATGTCATCTGCAAAAAGATGGTAGGAGATTCCTTTGAAGGAGCTCAGGATGTGCTGAAGAGGGAGCAGATAGAGGAGGAAGAGCAGAGGCCCCAGCACAGAACCTTGTGGGACACCATCGGTAAGGGAGGTGGTGGAGGACCTAAACTTGGAGACGGCCACAGAAAAGAAGCGGTCAAAAAGATAATAGGAAAACCATTCCAGAGCAGTTCCTGATAGGCCTACCCAGTCTCTCAGCCTCTCCACTAGCAGGTGATGGTCAAGAGTGTCACAGGCTGCAGTCAGGTCCAGCAGGACCAGAACAGAACAGTCCCCTGCATCACTGTGAGTCAGAAGGTCATTAGAGACCCTAAGAAGAGCTGTTTCAGTAGAATGAGCTCTACGAAAACCTGACTGGAAGCTATCATAGATGTTATGTTCATCAAGAGCAGCTGAGTTGTTTAGCCACAACCTTTTCCAAGATCTTGGAGATGAACGGAAGTTTAGAGATGAGTCTGAAGCTGATATGGAGAGAGGAGTCAAGACTCGTTTTTTTAAGAAGCGGGTGGATTACAGCATTCTTAAAGTAAGCAGGGGCCTGACCAGAAACCAGAGAAGCATTAATAATGGAGAGCACGCTGGAGGAGTTGGTGGAGGAGGCCGGGGAGAGGACGGTCTGGAGCTCCCTAGTTGGGATGCTGCCCCCGCGACCCGGACCTGGATAAGCGGAGGAAGACGACGACGACGATGGGACAGATGGACTGAAAAGCACTTTAAAACAAAGATGAGGGTAAGATGTCGAGGGGGCATGCAGAGGTCTTCATAGAGTTAACTAGTTTGGTTAACTCAGGCAAAGAAACAGGAGCAAAGCTATCGAGGATGATGGGCCTGGTTGGAGTCAGGAGAGGCAGAGATAAGGCTGAAGGAGAGATGCTAGCTCTAACCTTATTGACTTTGTCCACAAAGAAATACAGAAGGTTCTCACAGTCTGCAACAGAGTGGATGGAGGCAGTAGGAGAGGCAGGAGAGACGATACTGCTGATGGTGTTAAACAGCACCTTGGGGTTCCCTTTGCTCTGGGACACCAGGTTGGAAAAATAGGAAACCCTAGCGTCTCTGACTGCAGAGTTAAAGGATGTCAGAAGATCCTTTAGGTGCAGCAGATGGACGTGGAGATGGGTTTTCTTCCACAAGCGCTCAATTTTTCTGCATTGGCACTTTAGGCTGCGAAGGCTGTCATTAAACCAGGGAGTAGGGTTCACTGCAGGAACTGATCTGGTTCTGACAGGACAGATATTGTCCAGAATGGAGAGGCAGTGCTCGTTAAACTGAGAAGTTAAGGAATCTGGGTCGTTATCAGAACAACAGGGTGGATCAAAAGCAGCAGAAAAATTTGTAGCTGTGCTCTCATTAAGAAAACTCGAACTAACCATACGGTGAGCAGGAGGTGGGGATGCAGAAACTGACAAGTTAAAGAAAATGCAATGGTGATCTGAAATATAAACGTCCTCAGGACAAACACTGTCAGCATTTAGACCCAGGGTAAAAACAAGGTCCAGAGTGTGCCCCCTGGTGTGTGTGTGGGGCCAGAAACATGCTGGGTAAAGCTGAAGGTGTCCATAAGGCTGGAGAAATTCATGGCAAAGTGATCAGAGGGATCATCAACGTGGATGTTAAAATCACCCACAATCACCAGTCTGGACAGCTTCAGAGTGGAGGATAGAAAGTCACTAAACTAGGAGAGAGGATGCCGGTCAGACCAGGCAGGCCCAAACGTATCACGAGGGTCTGCTGGGAATGTCTGGAAGAGTCTCCTGTCAGATGGAGCTTCAATTCCCACCTCCGACAGAACTTACAAAATGTTCCGGGGGAGGCAGGGGACAATGAGTCTGAATGGACCCTGTTCCGTGCCTCCATTGTTGAGGCGGCCGACTGGAGCTGTGGTCGCAGGATCGTCGGTGCCTGTCGTGGTGGCAACACCCGAACCCGCTGGTGGACACCGGCGGTTAGGGATGCTGTCAAGTTGCAGAAAGAGTCCTATCAGGTCTTTTTGGCCTGTGGGACTCCAGAGGCAGCAGACGGGTACCGGCAGTCCAAGCGGAACGCGGCTCGGGTGGTCGCCAAGACAAAAACCTGGGCATGGGAGGAGTTTGGTGAGACCATGGAGCAAGACT